GATATTTAAGGTCTTGAAAGGTCGTAAAATGAATATGGTACTCAATTTATTATCTTAAAGATCACCAAATACAATTAATTATTTATGGATGCCTACCAATTGCCAAGTCTTTTGTGAACAATAACCCACGTAATGAGCCGTAGAAAACATGCTCCCAAATAACCAGAGACTCTCAAATATGTAGAAACAAGATATGGGATTGTATACTGTGAGACTATTTATCTTTGTTACCAAAAGGTCCCCAATTACTCCTACATATTAGATATCAAATTGAATGACTTGGAATGTATTATGAAATTTAAAAAAATCTTTTTGAACTTTTGAGCCGTTGTCAATAACACTTTGACAACCACTTGATTTGAAATCTGACGGACACGAATAATTGTAAACACCTTGTATCAAAAGGAAATACTCTTTGCATACTTTTCTAATTTTCATACATCCAACAATTGCCATTAAAAGAAAATGAAATAAAGTGAATTAAGAGAAGCAATCTACGGGAAAATCTTCATGGTAAAAACTGCATTATTTTTTAATCTGGGCATCCTCAGAATCTCTGCACTGTGGATGCCGTTTCGAGAAGCTTTTGGTCCCGAGATTTTAGATAAGCATTGAACCATTGATATAGAACTGATTGGCTTATTATACAGTCAACCAGCATTGATACATTCCTTGCATGGTACACTTATTAAGCTAAAGTTGATCGTTTGCCCTTTGCATCCCTTGTCTGCAAAACCAAGATGGATCAGTGTTAGAGAGAAAGATGGATCACTGCTATAGAGAGGGAGAGAGTAACAAGATTCCTTGAACCCAAGAACTGGAGAGAGAGAGAGAGATAGAGAGATGGTCTTTGAACCCAAGACCGGCGCATCAACCAAACCAGGCCTTTGGTCTATTAAGCGAACAACAAAAACACACTAATTTTGCCAGAGAGAGAGAGAAGACGAGGGGGCACGGGTTTTGGTTGGGAGGTTAGAGAGGGAGAAAGACCTGCGCGGCAACAGATTTCCTTGAATCCAAAAACTGACTGTAGATGCCATAAAGTCTCTGCTTCTCGGTTTCTGATATAGAAGGTCTCACACGAGAAGCTACTGATTTCAAAAGAGAATCAGATATGACGGGGGTGGTTCCAGGCTGACCATTGCTCCCACTATCAAGAAACTGATGCACTGATTCAAGCTGGGCATCAGAGAGAAGGGCCTGGAGATCTGCACCACTGAAACCATCGGTAACTGAGGCTGTGGCACTCAGATCGACATCACTTGCCAAAGGAAGCTGCACATTTAATATGCAGATGTCTTTTAGCTATGGAATGATTGTATCGTAGTGTCAATATTCATCATAGGAGACCCACCTCTCTCTCCTCTCTCTCTCTCTCTCTCTCTCTCAAAAGGATGACACATTTCGACGCTCAGAAGTTTAAAATTTTGGCTGCAACAGAATTGGATTCTATCAGCGGATGGAAACTGAAATAGGTAGATGACCAACATACTCTAATTTAAGAAAAACAGTTGCTCATTGCCACAGATTTGAGATCATCTTTCTCCGACAACTTATTTTCACTATATTTTCCAGGATTAGAAGAACCACTGACCTTTCTGGAGAGGACCTTAAGGATATCCAATCTTTCCTCCCTAGATGGAAAGTCGCAAAAGAGAAGGTGGTCGAGTCTTCCAGGTCGTAAAAGTGCAGCATCAAGTAGATCAGGGCGACTGTTTCAATAAGCAACAGTGACACATTCAATACTTAAACTAAAAGGAAGGAATAAGAACACACCAATAAATTATCCCAACGAAAAACACCTGAAATACCACAAACCACATAATATAATAAATAAAAAACAATTCAAAATTCAATCCACTTAGCTTGCATCTTCCCAATTTTTTTTCTCAACATGTACTGTCTTTTTTTCTGGCATAGACAAGTATATGTCCACAATTTAATATACGAAGCAGTAACAATTTTCAATTACAGATATATGGTCAAGTGACAGAAAATGTTTGTAATCATAATGAATTCTCTATTACAGATCAGGAATTATCTACAAATTAACTTTGCAGATATGCAAAGCAAGTGACCCATTGCTTTAGGAGTCGGTTCCCACCAAACAACTCCAAAGTGACTTGTCCCCTTAATGAGAAAAATCTCTCCCATCTATGCAATAAAAACACCTAGTTGATCATGTTTAGAATATCAATTTTGCCCAAAAAGCTACTCCTAAAGAACCAGGAAAGTTGTATTTACATTTTACTTCCTAACATGCCAAAAGCCATAAGACAGTCATAAACAAAAGTGTATGATAATCCCATCGAGTATGGCATACAGTAGTTCAAAGAGGCATCCACTTCTGTTCCAGACGACAGATTGGGGAGATTTAACTGTAATTGCCAAAATATCTTGGTGGGTCCCACTATCATTAATATCCACAATCCAACTTCAGGAATGGAAAGTGGAAGCCCCTGAGTATCATAAACCATACCCCATTGGATAGTGGTATTCAAAGATCACATAACATATTCCTTTTTGCCAAGAGGAGTTACTGCACAAAATGGCAAACCTAGTGGCAGCAAATACAAATACCCCAGTCAGGACCTCGACACCATCAAGTTCAGTTAATAGCTGCAAATGAAAACAAAATTTTAAAATCAGGAACTCTGGGAATTGTTATTAAAGCAGTGACAAGTGCTAAAATAAATCATTCAATACTACTTAGAAACCTGATTAACAACTCGATCTGTTACGCCAGTATTGTCATGACCCCTCTTTGGTGCAATAGAATCGAACTCGTCAAAAAACAGCAGGCACGGTGCTGCAGCGGCAGCTTTCGAGAATATATCCCGTACCTGAAATCACAGTGGGTACAGTGGGTATCATACCTCCTCATTCCTTTCCAATGACAAAAAGAAACTTGGTAATCTAGGCCATTGAACTAATAACCATAATCCACCAGGGTCATGACTGTCCAATCGAAGGATGGATAGGGAAGCGTAAATGTGGGGCCCACTATTAGAGGCATGCCCCTATCTGGTAGATCCTAGTCTCTCTCCATCATCCAGCATATGATTGATGGTCATGACCACAATAGTATCTCCCATTAAAGCCAAAAAGAAAAAAGAACAGTGAGCTTAGTTGCTTCAGGCAGTAAATTGATTAGTGACAAGTGCCCAGCTCCAAGTAATGTCACTAACAAATAAAACTTTAAAACAGGGCATGACCCCAATGGTGGGTGTCCCACTTTAGCTCGACAACCACCATCCATAATTTCAATGGACATTGATGACCGAATGTAGCATTTCCGTGGTCCAATGGATTGTAGCACACTTCCCTTCTAAAAGTAAGAAACAAGCCATGTAATGATGATTGATCATGTTCTTGATAAGTAGGCATGTGACGAAAGCACTTAAATTATAAGGAAAATTGTGCATAGAATGCATAAATATTGATCATAAAGATATAGATGCATTTTTTGCCAACAGTAAGAGGGTGACCAGATGGATTTCTTACAGCTTGCTCTGATGCACCAATATACTTGTTCAACAGCTCAGGTCCTTTTACTGAGATAAATCGTAAAGAACAAGCAGCTGCAGCAGCTCCAACAATGTGAGTTTTACCACAACCAGGGGGGCCGTACAGAAGAACATTAGATCTTAATCTCAGTGGCGCATTGGCAAAAATGTCCGGGAACTTAGAGGGCAACTCAACCATCTGGAACATGGAATAGAAGTGTAAGGATCTCAATCCATGTTATCATGTAAAATATGAATTATCTAGTCCTCATATCTGATTAGCTAGACCTCATATCTAGTCCTCATATCTGAATTATGAATTATCTAGTCCTCATATCTGATTAGCTAAATTTAAAAATCCTTGACAGTCAATTGCAATGATTAGAAGATAACATCCAGCAAAAGTTCCTTTCTTATGATATATCATGTAAAATTTTAGGAATTGGGCTTCGGCTTAAGTGCTTAGCAAGTTGACTTTAGCAAACCTACATCTCAAGTTTAACTCCTACCACTGAACTACCTAAAAAAAAATATCATGGAAAATTTTCAAACTGTCTAGCACACCTAATAGAAAAGATAAATCAACTATGCTCACTTCTCAAGAAGAAAGCACAACTTTCAGAGTTCAGATTCGGCTGCCTAGGCAGCCAGCCGGGTGCCTACTTCTCTAGGCAGCCGAAACCTGAACCTAATTGTGAAAAGGGGCAACAAATCGAAAACCAAACTTGGGGAAGATTAACAAAAATTAAAAAAAAATTAAAACCCAATATTAAAAAATATCACCAAACCCTAAATCCAAAATTGAAACACACTAACCTTTTGAAACTAAATCAAAGTAGTTGCCGAAACACGTCTTTTACCTGCACTTCAAGTCTAAAAAACAATAGGCTTTTATACTACTAAATTTTGCAATTCAAAAACTTTCAAATTCTCAAAAGGTCTCACAAATTTAGCACTTAAGAGGGAAGAGACAAAAAATGACCCCAACTTAGGGCCATTCTCTGCCCTCAATAAGAGGCAACACAAGCCACCCGGGTTGGCCATTAGGCAAGCCAAGGCACCTGCCTCGGACCAAAAGGCAGGCACCATTTGAATAACCAACCCTAGGCGTCAGCCTACCCCAAGGAGGTGCATTTAGGGCCCTCGGCAGCCTAAGTGAGGAGGTGTCCAAATTTTAAAATACTGAACAACACAATGCCTAATGATTCACATGCTACAAGAACTCCACAAAAAAAAAGACATGCAAGAAGAACTATATCAAAGAGAAAATAAAACAACTATTAAACTGATGTACCCAGCCATAATTATGATGACGAACAAAATGTTCCATAAATTACATTATCCATTTTATATTTAACTTTAAAATTCAAAGACAGAAACTAACTCAATACTGATGATTGCACTACCCTAAAGAGTAAAAGATTGAGGAACAAAAGAAAAGGCCAAAACATGTGTCACATATGTAGGCGATATAAACAACATGATTATAAGACAATCTAACTTCTCTAAGCACTTGCGTATTTCTACCGCAACTCCCTCAAACTTGTGTACTAATATCTCAAACTTGTGTATTAGTATTTATTAAGCCCCACATTACATTTTCCAGCATTAGGCTTCTCAATAGATTTTAATAATGCAGCCTAATAAAGTATCTAGAAGAGACAAAGGTCATAGAACCAATCGCCCTTCATCAAAGGCTTTTAATATCACGATCTTCAAAATGCAGGAGACCTAATTTTGCAGATGAAGAGGTACACTTCACAAAGTTTCGTGGTGGCCCATATTGAAGCAACATATGACTTTTGCGATTCATGAGAGAGAGGAAAACCATGAAGAAGTCCATCAACATATAAGTACCTCCTGGATGGAGTTGCGGATATCATGAAGCCCCCCAATATCCTCCCACCCAGAACGGCCACCTTCAGATCCAGATTTTGTGACGCCGCGCATGGCTACTGGAAGGAAATCTCTAATTGCATGGGAAAAATCTTCCCTCGTTAAAGCTGGCTTTCTGTGCCCTAAAACTGCAGAAGTAGATGAAAAGCGACCAACAGCAGCATGGACAGCCCTATCAACCAATATTTCCTGCAGTTAAAATAAAACTTTAATCACTTACTAACAAACAAACACACACACACATACAGCAGTTCAATGTTCAGTACAAATTCTCCACAGCAATATGATCCAAGCCCATCCAATATGTCAAACAAGCACTGACAGGTGAGTGAAAACAGAAAACCCATAGATACAAAAACAAAATACATGAAGTCCCCTATGCATACTTTTCAACAGCTCTGAGATGGTTCATATAAGATGGGAGAAACAATAAAAAGATGAAAAGAACACAAACAGTAAGAGGCGTAATGGACAAACCCAATAAAAATGACTATGCACTCAAAGAACACTCATAAATCAATTTCCAACCACACCTAGTTCTACATATTGGTGTGAATGAATTCATGCCAAATACTCTTTCACGTCAGTATGTAAATTTACTGCTGCAATGAATAGCCTTTTGCATAGCCGAAGTTATCTGCAATAAAACAGGGCCCAGTCTTCTTTCACATGCAATCTACTCTTAATTCCTCTCCATGATATCTCTAGGCATGAAACATGTTATTATGCAAGACAATGATATTTCTAGGTTTCTTATCAAATTACTCTTTCTTGGTTAAGAAGATAGAGGAAAACAAAAAGAGTTACACATGCAGGGAATCCAAATCATGGGCTTCCATATAAACACCCAAGAACAAAAACATACTAATACAAAAATCCACAAATACCAGGTCATATGCATTATATCCATCACACTTTGAGGCAATTTCAGATATGACTTCTTTGGAACAAAGCAAAGAACGCTTCTGCAATTCACGTTTCAACAAAGCACCACGCTCCGGGGCCGCAAACACTGGCATTTGAACATGGAAATCAAATCTTCCTATAGGAAAACAGAGCAGGCGTACTCAGTAAAATTACAAATTTTACAAAAACAATCAAGTTTTAATTTCAAAACAATGGACACATCAAGGGCCCCAATTTGATGTGTCCCCAATTTCCAGATGCGAATAAATTGAACAACCTGAAGAGCGCAAAGTCTGGGGCAAAGTCCCTGGTGACTGCAGAGAAGCCATAAATGCAACAGGGCCAATACCACAAGATGTCTTCATCGTTTCCTGCTCAACTATTCAAAGATCAATAATCTACTCCTAGAAACCATATACGGTTATAATAAATGATAACCAATATTTAGGGAAACTTCATTACGCAACTATACCTGATACTCATCCATTATATCTCCAAGAAATTCCGCAAGAGACATAACAGAATGAGAAGATTGAGAGCCATCAGATTCAGAAGATGAAATAAGAGCATCCAGATCATCAAATATGACAAGTGCTGGTGGATGATCAAGAGCTTCAGATATGTAGCCATTAAGGGTTTCCCGTATTGTATTAACATTCTCTAAAGCAAGTTTTGAGCAATTTATGAAGACTCTGTAAAGAAAAAGACCAATCAGGGAAGAACAGGTAAACCCAATCCAAGAAAGCTCGGAAAAATACATTACATACATATATATATATATATATATATATATATATATATGGTCGTGTATAGTAATAGTACGTACGTACCTACTGTCCTAGATTAGTAATACAGAGCAACTACTAGTCGTACGTACGTACGGTAACGTTAC